CACTCCATGGCGTTGAGGCTGCTGAAGGCCACTTCGAAAACTGGGTGCATTTGAAACGAAGATTTGACTACTATTCCCTGCTTTATTCCAAGGTAATAGATGCTGATTTCACTTCACTCCACTCCAGTTCCTACCAAGGCTCAAGTATCTCTCCTTGGGTAGTTTGACATACCAACCCCCTTTCCCATCGGCGGGTAAATTTTCCTCTTTCCACATCCGCAGTGGTAGGATAAATATGTCTGCCGAGATCGTTAAGCCGACTATTTTTGATCCGAGTGCATGCTTGGTTTTTCGAGTTTTAAATGTCCAGCAATTTTTATGCTGTTTGGTCTATTCCAAAAAGTCAGTCATTTTCATAGTTTGAGAGGCTGCGAGAGTGCTTACCACTTGCCTGCAAATGCAGGTAGAGTTGGTGATTGCTAGGCTTCTACATGGATCTGCCAATACAAAGTCTGAGGCCGAGACACCCTATCCTGATGTTAGGGTGCATCAAACAGCTGTACTAACGAAGACAAAATTAAATCTGTGTATATTAAAGGGCAATTTCCGAAAGCGCAAGAGTGAGAAATTGTAGGAATAGGTAACCAGTGCGATACTATCCTTCTTTGAACTCCAAGATGACTCCAATAATTTCGTTTGAGCCATAGCTGTTGAGATAAACAAATTGGGTAAGGAGAATGAATTATTCAAAGCCTCGCCGTTATCATTAAGTCCTTTGACTCCACACATTATAACTTCCCCAGAGCTGGTATAAGTTCATTCGTTCCAGTAAAGGGAGTATCAGTGCTTAGAAGAATCTCATAACACTTGTAGAACTTCAGAAATAAAACGAAATGTAACAGAAACTTGTTGAAAGACTGTATTTATCGTCAGCAACGATCTTTACCTTCAACATTGGACTTTTAATGCTGCATTACTTGACCAATTTCTTACATGTTCCCCGTAAGTTTTTGTTCTTGAGGCTGCATAACACGTATTATGCCGAGTTATCTGCTGAAAGCTGCTGTTCGTGAAATAAACAACTTCACTGGAAGCATAGGCCTGGTGTAAATGAGAATGTATATACATGCCACGGGTTGTCACACAAAAACGATTTGCAGAGAGGCCTATCTCCAGGACCTCTCATCTTAAACATTTATGTCCGCTTATCTGCTGATTCAGTGCTATGGATATATGAGCTTCAGCCTTATGTGTGAGACAGCATTATTTTTCACCGTGACTTTTGAATTTGAGTGACCTACACTTTAACAAGTTCCAATATTAGATGTATGCGTACCGCAACAGTAAATGACTTCCTAAGTTTATTAGCTCACAAGCATTCTTCAATCGGCATTGGGTGCTAATTTTTACTGTTTAAGTTAACTCGTGAAGCTGAAGGTTCATCTTCAAGCACCCATGCCTTCTGAAACACTGTTGTGTTAAACTTGTTCGTTCGTACACGATCCATAACTGGCTAAGCAATCATCATGGCCCTGCAATTGTGATTCCGAAATATTTTGACGGTTAAATTTGGTGTTTTTATTTGCACAGAACAAAATATTTAGAGCGAACAACTGTTTGCAATAAATTCTTCTTCACGCTCTACAATTATAAATCCATTAATTTAACTATACAATGGCCGGTAATGGCAAATTAGAATCATATCGGAAAGTGTATTGTGGAACAAGTGTTGTGTTTTAGCTATAGAATAAACCGCATACGCTCAGAAGAATGCATTAAGGAAGAAATGTATAAACTGAAGCTTACACTACAAGAAAATGGATATCCAGAGAACTTCCTGAAAAAGTATATGTCAATACCTACAGACAGGGTAAAGGTGGATACCGTAGACAAGAAACCTGTGTATCTTAAGTTAGGTTACAAAGGGGAAATCGCAGCTGACATTCTAAAATGTCGACTTAAGAGAGCAGTAGATAGAACATTTCCGGCAGCTAAACTGGCACTCACACAGCAAGTCAAAGATAAATTACCAAAGATGGTCTCATTAATGTGTATCTATGAATTCAGCTGCTCATGTGGAGCTAGTTACTTGGCCGTACTCAGAGGGCTTTATTCATGCACGCGCCTGTATGGTTGATTAAAGGGGTAAACAAATGCGTAAGTAGTGCAGTCTTAGCCCACTTGGTAGATACTGGACACCCGATAAAACTTGACCAGGCGTCCTCAGTTATTTGCCGCGTTCCCAGTAATTTATCTAGAGGAGCTCGACTACGTCTTCTGTCAGTAGCTGAAGCGGTTGCAATTAATACCAGAAGACCATCCCTTTGCATACAGAAGAAGTCTGTTCAACCTCTATGTTTACCTTGGCCTATAATAAAGCCAACAAATCCTCCATTAACATTATAAATTCCTTTCACAATTTTCTTTTCTTCTTCTATTCCTCTGTTTCGTTGACAATCGTTCATTTTCGACTTTTGTGATTCCATGACCTTTCTTATGATTTTATTAGCTTAAGTTTAAGGAGTGCTTTTCTAACTTGTTATCGTATTTACAAAATCCTGTTCATACCACTTCATTATATTCATTATTATAAGTATTTGACAATCATTCACCAATAGTACTTGCAATTTTACACCATATCATCGTTCTTATTTTACAATCATTCTTACTGTCGTTATTTTCAACCTTGAACTTATGTCTAGTCCGCCCCATTCGTTGGTTTATTTTCATATTGTCTCACACACCTTGATTACACTCAGTCTCAAAACCTGTATTTTTCTGTTGACTATATTTATATGTATACACACATCACTAAATTAAATTACTTCATCTCATTTTGTCCCATGCTCTCATTGACCATGCATATTAAAAAACTGACTATTGTTCCATCTCATCTTATGCTTGTTCTACGATACACTTTCTGATATGATTCTAATTTGCCATTACCGGCCATTGTATAGTTAAATTAATGGATTTATAATTGTAGAGCGTGAAGAAGAATTTATTGCAAACAATTGTTCGCTCTAAATATTTTGTTTTTATTTGCCTTTGGTCTTCGCTGGACAAGTACTATAGGTATTGATGGATAAGAACTCGCATATGTACGCAATCTGCCTAACGTAAACGTAGGCATCTGTTCATCTCCTTGAGTAAACAAAGGAGGAGGAAAACTGCCTGAAAGCTAGGTTCTCTAAATATTAAGCACACTGAATGAGTTTATTATCTCAGACAGATGCCTAATCATATGGATCAAAACAGTAGCACACACCTCTGACCCTTCACTTTTTTCTACATAATTGCTGCACTTCTACTTCGAGTTTAACGTCATTTTTATAACTCCCTCGTTTGAAGTTTTCAACAGCTAATTAGGAACTTCAATCCCTTTGTTTGTTGCACATTTCAACCAGTCATAAGTGGGAAATATGCATATTCACAACTACGACTTAACTTTCCGATACAAGGTGAATTGTGGATTTATTATGCTTACGATGCTCATTAGAAATGCATATTTCTAAAAATGTACATGCCTTGTTATTTCCTATCTCAGGAGCATCGTGTTTACCAGAAAATTAATGAGAGAACCTGCTACAAAGCTTAGACCTCCTAACAGCACTGGACCAAATTAAATGGCTTCAGTAATCCTTTGAAACAGTTAGTGCGATATTCCTCTTCTGCTTTTTAAGTCACCCTTTGCATCTATGGACATTGGTACTTTTCTAATCAGTGGAAACCTAGCTTCATACCTCCACTCCAGTCCGGTGACAAGCGCTCGCAAGTGTAGACCCACAAACATTGCAAAGTTTTCTCGCGAGTCATGGAGAAAGTTGTTAAAGATCAAATGTTAGGTTGTCTGCTTATAGAGGATTTTGTTACAAAGTTTCAACACGGACTTCTCAAAAATAGGTTTTGTGTTACCTGTCAACCTGAATTCTCCAACTGCATCACTGGTAGTTGCGTAGAAAGCAAACTAGTCACTGTTTTCTGTTCCAATGTAACAGGGGCATTTGACATAGAATCCCACGGTGTTCGCTTTAGAAATCAATTCCAAGAGAAAGCGTGCAAAAAACTAAAATGGAATCTGCTTTATCTTACCCTGGGCAGATAAAAGTGGAGTTGTACGGATGGCGTTCTGAGACCAACTTCGCTTATAGTTTATTATTATTGATCCCTTGGGGCTTGAATAACACATCTCCACTTTGTTCTATCTTCTTTTGCCCTCTGCAACTGGGCCCACGATTGCCCATAATCTCTCATCTCCACCCCGCATGATCTCCTCCATGTCACCCTCGCACCGATGACCCACTCATCATTTCCTATTCTGGTTAAAATTGAGGGTTTGCTCAGCATGAAATGTCGTTCGATGATCTCCCCAACGTATGCTCAACACATCTACATTTTCTCCTACATATATGTTGAACGACAGGCTCTTGGTTAATTTGTTCCAACACTTGGACATTTGATCTTCCATATGGAGCGAAGGTAGCTGTTGACAAAAGTCTTCAGCCTGTTGGAAATACTTTTCATGATGCGCTAAGTTTCTGACCCATATAGAAGAAATGACTTGATATGTGTCTTAAAAATCTGGACATTGTTCCTTATGCTGAGTAGAGAAGATTTCCAAGCTGGTTTCAGAGTGAGTCTTTCTTGCCTGACTTGCAACTATTTACATGCCTTTAGTAATTTGTTTGGTGCTCAATGAATTCTATCAGCACTAAATGACAACGGATGGAATCATACAGAGCATATGAGTTCCCTCAAGGTTGCATACACGCCTTGTCGACGAGTGCTATCAAACACGAAACCTCCTGATCGCCTCCAACCACTCATTAAACTTGGTTTATCCCAAAATAGGTGACAAGCAGTGTGGCGTTTGCGCCACACAAAAGGACTACTTTTTTAGAAATTTTAGTGGCAAATAAGTAACTCAAATTGCAATTGTTGCTTTTCTCGAACTTTATCCTCAGTACCGAATCGCGGATTCTCATTGCCGGTTATCATCAGCTTCATGCTGCTGATGCATGTGAAAAATCTCAAGCAAACGATGTTTTTCGCTGAGGATAATCTATGACATATGTGTTCTGAATTTTCCAATAAGTATTGAACGCATAATTGTTTGAATGTTTGCATTGCTTGTTTTACTGCATCAGTAATTTACTTCGCTCCTAGTTATACTTCATTTGACTGTTAAACATGAGTGGAGACGCTGGCAAAATTTTGGAGGATATCGATGGGTTTGATAAGCAGAAGTTGAAACACGTCGAGACGGAAGAAAAGGTGGTTTTACCAAACAAAGAAGGTATGAATACAGTACTCCTTTTTATGACGTTTTGTATCACTATTCGTAAAGTTACATCGATGTAGCTATGATCATAGCTAACCTACAACATTAATCCTTGAGCTGGTTTCTTGTATCATTAAGATTGACACTTAAAGTTGTAGCCGTATTAATATATTGACATTTTCCCTATGGAATGTAATTATTTGCGCAACTGGCTTTATTTGACCATTTTTCGTCAGAGAGTGTGCTGATATTCTAAATTAAGAGAGGTCGTTCTGAACTTAGCTTGCGTGTGCATTCACCCTCATATTTGAATATCTGTACTAGGTTTTCTCAGCTTAGCCGATTTCTCGTGAGTTATCCCAAGGTGGGGTGTTTTATTAGTCCTAGTGACCTCTGGTGGTTCTACTGACTCTTGGAGTATGCTTTGGCAGATCGGAACTAAACAATCGCTCTTCCAACGGACTTTTATGTCAGGGATATGCAGCATTCATTCTCTCGATGTGAAACAACTGACTGACAACGCCATTTTGCTTTTACTTCGAATAAGATTGCGTGTGGGGTATTTTGATGCTTTAAGTACTGCTGGCATAATGAATTCGTCTCAACGACCTTCTATATTCATTAAAAACTCATTGTAGACAACCGAGTGTGATATTCACTCAACACATGGACGTCTAGTGTTGTGAACTACACCAATAGAGGCCACTCTGGCTGAATTTTATGAATGTCCAGACTAGGAGTGTTACAACACATGTGCGGCTAAGCTGTATCAAATATCTTCCTCGAGTGTAATGTTAAATAACTCCTGATTACTGCTAGAGTGTTTGTTTTCTGGGACCTGCCAAACATTTTTCTTGAAACCTATTTACTTTAGTTACTTAAGTAGCCACCTCAGACCTCGAGTCAACGTCAGCTTTCAGTACAACTGAGTGCTCAACGAGCTCCTAAGTTATTCGCAAATTCACTCCTCACTGTATCAAAGATTAAAACTTAAGTAGAATAGTCTTGTGGAATTTCTTTGACTAATCTGAGTTTGTTACTTCTAGGTGTATCAAAGTAGTGACAATGTTGTGTCAAATAACTTATAATGTAATTTAGGTTTTCGACTTTATTGACTCGCATATATTGTCACTACTACTGTTCGTTACTCTAGACGTCGCGACCCTCAGGCTTGCGGATCTTATGAGATTGGAGTTGCCAGAATAACTACTCACTTGGTTTGTCTGGGATGCCTGCAATGTGGGTCTTAAATCTAAACATTCATCAGATTACTTAGTTATTAGCTCAAATTAGCACTTCGTTGTACAGTGTTCATCGTTGGTCCTCACTCATTTAGGGCACCTGCTTTATGTCTTCTAGCTCCTAGCAGTCATGGCGTTTGGCTTGCCACATTGGACGAAGTTGGGATCGCTATGGCATCTGATCTTAACATGACATTCCTTCAGTTTACTTTTTATGTTACTCATTTATGTTTGCATTCAGCTTGTACTGTATATGTCTATTTACATACGTATTCACCTCTACTACACTTTTATAGTTATTGAAAAGGAGAAAACTGAAAAGCAGTTGATGCAAGAAATCGAAACTCCACATCCTTTAAAACCTACCGAAACGAAAGAAAAGAATCCTCTACCCACTAAAGAAGGTAATTACCCGTTTTACTACTACCATGCATGTGTATACCGTCAACTTTGAGACTAAAATATTTCTTTTGGTTTTTTTTCTGTAGATATTGCAGCAGAGAAAGCTACCAAGTAAACACTAGCTTTTGCTTTTCAATGTCTGCGCCTTTTCGTATCTGAACGCTTAATATTTGGCCGTCAAGCTTTTTTGTATTCAAGTCCTTACATAGGGAAGGATTAAATCTTGGTGTCCGTTCCATCCTATTTGTATTTTACCATAAATTTCTATGTCGAGATGAATCATTTTAAATAAAGTCATTTCCATTCACATATGTGGCAGTTTTTTTTGCTTGGGTCGGTTAGAACTACATTTACTAAGTCGTTTCGCGCAGGGTGATGTTAACCTTCATCGTTTATGCATTCGTAATTTTGAATTCTCGCGTTACTACTTGGGTGTACTGCTTATTCAAAAATCTACAATTTCCAGTGTTTATCGCTCTTATCAGATGTAACGTCATGATGGACCGTTTGGTTACTTAAGTGTAGTTGTAACTTTCTGTCTCATACGTTCAACTCCCAACTACTGGGCAAAAGGCTTGACAACTGGGTTCTATCGCTCATAACTAAGTGCAGGTAGGTGGGTGCTAATTGACACTGAAGAAGGTGTGGTCAGCCAAATGACATCAGTACTAGCATGACATCTTCAGAAAGCTCGGATATATCGTCGTTATTTTGAGTGCCGAGTTACACATAGATTATAAATAAGTGATATCTCACTGGGTACTTGTTCTCCTCGGACTATAGTATCGACTTCCACTAACTCAATGTGCTGCAGACAGTCATTGTGACAGCACATAAGAGCAGTAGGGTGAGTACGAAACTCACTAATCAGGCAATCCGGGGATTTTAAAGAATTCGTACTGCTAGACTGTATTTTAAATGGTTGATAATGAATTTCGAGATTGCTATGCAGTGGCAATTGCATTAAAATCATGGCTCATAGTAACTGCAAAGTTTTCATTGCCTTTCTGAATAACCTCTTAATTTTCTGGTTAAGCCTGAGGTTACCTAGGAAGAATGAGAGCTTAGGAATTAGACCAACTTGCAAAACTATCACATTTTGGTGTCAAATTATTGGCTGTGATAGTATATATTTTGTATCATATTTCAAAAAAAGAGTAGTTTGAAAAAAAGATTCACATAGAGAAAAATGCTTTAAAGTAGCTGGCAGGTTATGTCGCTTGTAAAAAACAAATGAGACCCCAAGTTGATTAGTAATATAGACAATATTTATAATTATCTTGTTAACTAGAGGGACCAGTTGCTCAGCTATTTCTAGTGTTTTAGAAGATGATGTGATGCATAACATTGCTGGTTATGCACGGCAAATCACTCGAGGGACAACTGAGCTTCGGGTACTTGTAGACACTCAACTGAAAAACTGAGTCAGCCGCTATCTTCTGGTCAGCCAGCTGCAAGCTTTGGCCTACGTAGGTGATGCCTTATATAGACAGTCTAGTGGTACCATCTATCAGCCGTCGTCGTCGGACATCTGCGAGTAGATCATGATAGTTGAGTCTATCCATGACTGTAATAGGCATAGTAACGTCAGCAAGAAGAAAAATCCACTGAATAGATTTGCGTTAACCTACGTCCAGATAGACGTATCTCTTCCCGAAGGATGCAATGGGTTTTCCATCTGGATCCTGTAAGTTGAAGTCCATTCTGGAGACCTGCCTGTGATAGGAAGAACGCTGACTTCATCACCCGTGCCTACTAATTACTGGGTTTTATTAGCCATATCTCGAACATAACGTAGGCGGCTACTGTTGCAGCGAACGCGTGCTGGCAGAGCAGTTCTCCAAATCGTCTGAATTCTTGCTAAATTTGCAGGGTTTTTTGGCAACACTAGCTTCTTGACCATAAGTATTATGCCACCAACACTAGTGCGGGTTCTTACTTGGACGTGGGTTGGATTTTGAGCGACCGTACATGATACTACGTCTAAATGATTTTCGTTAGCGGTTGGGGTTAGTGCGGGGGCTGCTTGCCCTAAGAAGTTGCTTAGCAAAGCCACGTAACTCAGTCGTTTCAAAGTCACCACACGAAGATGATTTACTGACCGAACAAACTTCAATGACTGGCTGCCGTGATATACCCAAGATTCTATCTGCCGAAACAGCTCAATCACCAGTGACGACTCCTTGAAGTGTTATAAGCACAGTCCGCACTGGCCGCTGCAACTTAGAAATGACTCTAGAGAGTCCTTCGTTAGCCGATGACTTCTCGCATTCGTGAAAGCGTATGAAAGGCCGGATTACTATCCAACTCAATATAGAGGAAGAGTTCGTCAAGACGCTGCAGATCCGAGTAGTCGTTTCTCTTTAGGATGGCTGCTTTATGCTCATCTCGTAGTGGTTACCTACCTCTGGGGTGGACGTATGTGTGTCTCAACCCCCGTGGTAGAGCGTGCATAACTAACTACCAGGAAATGTGGAGGTAGGTCGGTGACTGCATGTTTATAGAAGTCGGCTTCAGCGTACAGAAATCATGTTTCTGCACTGTCTAGCCAGAAAGACACGAGCTGAATAGGGGTGCCAGTCTGTCTGATATGAATAAGCTTAGATGTCTGGTCACTCACAGTAAACAGGATCTGTTAAAATATAATAAAGATAACAAAAGAACAAGTATAAAATGAATTTGTTTCTGTGTTCACCAGAATAGATGAGATTTGTCTTCGGCTGATGTCTACAAACGCAAGTTCTTATCCTCCAGCTACTATAGCATTTTCTTCTACTCAGACTAATGAAAAATCAAAACACCAGACTGATCGCCCAAAATACGTAATATATTCCGGGATCAGGATTGCAAAGCAATGACGACTGTTTAGCCAGCTAGGGATCACTCATGAACGAATGACCAAACATAATACGACAGCGTTGCCTGACCGCAAACCTTCAGCTTCACAAATTAACTTAAACAACAGTGGAGGTCAGCATCCAATGTGGAGTGTTGAATGCTGTAGTCTAATAATTTGGCGGGGGTGGGGGTTGCGTGATTATTTACCACTACAATGTGTTGAAATATTCTATTCGAGTGAATTCTTTTGAGAGACAAAAAGATGTTTATTTATAAGTTATAGTCTCATTCTCCAGTGACAAGTAGGTCAAAGTAAAGTAAAGTAGATATTTTATTGTCTGGATACAAATGTACTTTAATAACTAAGATGCCATATCACACACACACACCCATTTGACCCACTGAAGTAGATTGAAGTGCGTAGGCTGGGTGAGTGTTTCAATACATGCAGAAAAAACGCAAAGACACACAAAAGGTACACTGTAGTGTAAGCTAAAGCATACAGTATTTTTAATTCAATTTTAGGCTTTCCCGTCGATTGATTTGACCGAAGTGCTCGGTCTCAGGTTGACATGTCGGCTTCTTGTGCAGATGCTTCGACGATGTCAGGGCATGTATTTAGAAGTTACTTGGTGAGGGTCTAGCAGTGGAATCCACCAAGATGCTCATTTGGTCCTATTTGGGACTCGTCAACTGGATGTACCTGCATTCCACAGTGAGTGATGATGTCCCCACCAAGGCTCGAACCCAGTGCCTGTTGTTTCAAACTCCAAAGCGTTATCCACGAGACCACTTGGGCCACGACAGCCACCTCTTGTGCAATGGGTTATATTAATTATTTAATTGAATTTTAGATTTTCCAGTATGTTACCTTCACATTGAAATTCATTTTGAGAAATGTTGGATAGAACTGTTTATATTTATTTACATGATCCGATAACAACATATCAGATACACGACCGGTGGTGATTCCCCAATTGAAAGATGACTAGCCACTTCCAATTGTATCTACCAATTCAACTGCACTTGTGGTGCAGCGAGTTATATTGGCCGTTGCTCTAGGAACTTAATTTTTCGGGCTCTCTCGGGAACACCTACCAGTGTGGCTAAATAAAGGTGTGGTAAAAACACCTGTTTCAAACCAACCACAAAGCCACCATTGAAGAATGCTTCTCCATTATATATCAGGTACCAAATAAATTGCCAAAACATCGAGGTACCGCATACTGCAAACAGGAGAGGCTATCGCGATTCTCCCGAAACAACCAGTGCTATGTGTGCACAAGAAGCAAGTCCAGCCAACCACTACTACTGACCTGCCGGTCTTCAGTAGAGCCTATAAATTCATGAATTTGTAGTATTATTTCCGTCGGTAGCACAGCGGTGAGGACTCTTGTCGACCATGAACATGGTCTGGTGTTTGATCCCCTACCGATGCACACCTGATATCAATGGTCGGCCTACAAAATTTGGGCTACCAATATCACATGCTGAAAATTCCATACTTGTACCAAAAATACTGTGGGGTTTTCTGATATTCCGTGTATTGTTATGTTGATGTTATTGAACTGCATTCCATTGATTTTATTATTGATTCGATGTTATTTAAACAACATTAATGTTGTTCATAACACTAATTCATTCACTATGACTGTGCATATGACTGTAGATGCCGATGATAAGGTAATCGAAAAGAATATTACTTTGTTCAGTAAACATACCAGTAATCCAATACTTAGCATAGGACTTTCCACTTGTTCAACTAATGAAGGTTATATGTGAGGCTAACTGTAGCTGGCAACTAATTATTACTCATAAAGATCAGCCATCTTGCTATATCTGTTGGTTGGTCCCCTCGTTATGTCAACATTTCTCCAACTTTTGGAAGTTGTTCCAGCTGGTGTTTTCAGATATCCTTGTTTACTTTTCAAGCAGCTTTTTTCACTTATTAACATAATTAGACTCTCTTGCTTTGTGTGACACTAGTGAGAAGCATCTCACAATCCAGGGATTTCGTGAAATAGTAGTTATTTGGATTTGTATGGTCATGTGTTTTTGAGGATAATTTGAGGCTATTCTATATGCTAATCACCAGTATCACTGATAAATAGCTACTGTAAGTATACTCATTTCACTTTGGTGATACAATATATTGATTAGTAATATCAACAAGTCGAGATTCATTATATTATTATCACTGTTTCCCTTAGTTCCTAGAGGAACATAGGGCTTCAGCCGTGCGTCTCCATTGCGTTCGGTTCTCTGCTAGAGTCTTCACCTGGCTCCAAGTCTGCCCACACATTTTCATCTCCTCATCACATCACCTCCACCAAGTCACCCTTGCAATGACGACCAACTCGCCGCTTCCCTTTCGGGTTCCACTCGAGCAATGGCTTGTCTAGTGATGTCACTTGATGGTTTCCTCACAGTATGGCCAATCCAATCCACCTCCATTTCTTCCTGCCTATTTG